GAAGGAAATCCTTGATTATATAGAGTTGGTACAGTTACTTTCAGTGAGCTTTACGTGTTGTTTGTTAAGATAAGGTCATCGGTTGGAGGCTTTTGAGCTCCTGTTCCAGAAATATCGAATGTGAAGGGTCTATGAACGATGAGTTGCCCGACTCAGTGACTGTCAACAACCTTCGCGATTTTGAAATTCTTCGGCCAGGTTACGAAGTGAATGAGGACATCCTGATGGTCAGTTGGTCCTAAGTGTTGCTTCGGGTGTATTCTTCAGTTTGTTCTTCTTTTCAGGCAATGTCACCTAATCGACTGGTACTGTATGCCATTTCTTCACTTCGTCGTAATCCACCGAACTTTGCTTCGAAGAACGAAATCGGTCGTTTTATAATTTCCGTGTTGATAAAGAAGCTTTGTGAAAGAAAGGCCTACGCTGTGAGTTTATTTTCAAGTTATCTGTGTAAACTGAGTGGCACATTCCGCTCATTGTGTGGGCGGAGGGAGCCAAGGGCAGTGAAGAGCGTCAATGAAGAAGACATGCTGCTCTTCTGTCTCATTCCACGAAATGAGCGTGGAATGTGCCTTTCAAGTATGACACCGGATTTCTTGTTTTAGCCATGCTTGTCAATTCTGGAAAGATATCCATGTGATTCATCCACAGTTGAGAAATGCCGTGTACTTATTGCTAAAGGTGACATTAATACAGCAGACAATCTGCTGAATACGCTTCTAGAATGTCCGTAAGTCTTGTTCTCTATTTTTCCTCTTTGATTTCTCTAAATTGATGGCCAGTGTTCAGTGAAGCAGAAGTCAGCGTTGAAGCTCGATGTCTTCTTGCAGAATTGCTGGCATATCACAAAAATATGCTCGATGAGGCGATTGCTCTGCTTCGTCAGGTATGTGCATTGAAGGAAGTGGGCACGATTGCTGGGGGCGGGCAGTTGTTGCCAGCGTCATTGGTGGAAGGGCTGCGAGAGGGCGTTTGGCCACACCCCACACAGCCCTTCCACCAATGACTTTGGCAATAATCGCCCGCCCCGGCCATCGTACCCATTGCCTTTGAGTAGTTCCTACTTCGCTCCCTTCTCGTACGTCCCCGTTTGAAATGTGACTACGCAACAGAGAAACTTTTTAGGGAATGGACAGCATTGGAGAAGGTTCTGTCACCTGCGAAACTCGCCTCCGACTGTTTTCACTACTTCACCGACTGGCAGCACGTCAACTTTCTGGAATAGAAGAACACATGGAGTCAAGAGCTTTTCGTATGCGAGAGGATGCAATCCGCGAGTGGACGAGGCAACGCAGCGTGGCGGCACAAGGGTATTCCGGCTCTCCTTTTATTGTGTTTGCTTGGCCTTTACGGGTCTCTTCTCAATAGGGCTCATGGTATGTTGGGGATCCTAAGCGAGGGGCGGGGGGTTTGGTGTTGAAGGGAGGAGAGGAGTCGTACGTCCGTTGAAATGGTTCGGTGGTTTGTTCGAATTGTACCTGTTCAAGTGCGCATACGCGGCGCCTCCGCCGCTCCCACCGCTCGAGGCTTTTGGGAAATCGGTAAGTGGCAGGTAGGTGCGAGAAGGGTGGGGGTTCGTATCAAGGTAAGACTTCGAGGTCACTCTGAAGTTCTTTTTCCGAGCGGCAAGACGTGCTCCGTAAGCGTTCTTCTTTTAGCCCTCCGTCTCACGCGGCTCGACGTATTGAGTGCGAATTACGGTGCGAAAAGGAGGCTGTTGAGTCAGTCAGCAAAAACTAGTAATAAGCGCTATTCGACACTGTAAGCCGTGGTTGAGGTTTGAGTAGTTTTTTTCTTATTTTACCCATTTTCTAGTTACCGTAAAGATTAGGGCATAAGTCAGATGCAGATTCTTTTTAGAATTGCTAACCAGCCCTATGTGAAGCAACCTGTCAACAGCAGAAAGGATGCTCGTATTTTTGAGGCTCATTTCCATTAATCATGCTGATGTTCCGCTTCGACTCGTGAACGGGAACGTTGTGAAGCTTTCAGGGTAAGCCAGTGAGTTCTGGAGATGCTTTTCAGGCAGCCTACAGTTTTGTTTGGGCTACGGCCTTGAAGGGCGCCGGGCGTGTCAGGCGAGATGTGTTATGTGGCACAGGCGCCAGCCCTTTCCAACAAGCTGTTGAGCGAGCGGCGCAGCATCTGTCGCTTCTGTTAGTGTTTTCACCGTGCTTGTTTGTCGCTTAGCGCTTGAATAGTTGGGAGGGAAGGGACCTGGCTCTGATGAACTCGCAGGGAAGAGATGGTAGGGTCGAAGTGGCATTTGAAATGAAATGTATACGGCTGACGTCGCGGACAGGGAATTACGAAACCGTCTTCCATATCTGCTGCGGACCTCCCAGAAAGAAAATACGGAGCTTTTCTGGGGGAGAAACACTACAAATTGGCGGCGTAAGGCCCAGATCGTGGCAGCATGGCCGAGTGGGTACGTCGTAGGGCTCACGGATGCGTGGTCGAGGTTTGAATCCTTAATGCGTGTGCTCTTTTGCATTTTTTCGATAGTAGGCGCCTTTGCCACTTCAAGCCATATTTGCATACAATTTGTCCTTGATAACGTAGCGTGCAGTGTAGCATCGATTCTGCACACGTGATGGAGCCATTGCGCGAACCATTCAATAGAAATCACTTCTGGCTGTTGTCTTCCTCTTTCTTTGATTTGAAAAGCATATACAACAAAAGTGCACTCCAAAGGAAGATTTTGCCTTCAATGAATTTTTATCCAAACGACATGTCCGGAAACGAATCGTACCTGGTGCAGGAAAATGATATATAGTGAGGGAAATGCTTCTATGAAAGTGACGTTGTAATGGCAGTCATCTGGAGATCGCGCATGGGCAAGAGCTTCGGTCACCAGTGGCTAATGAACTGGTCTATCTCAAAGAGTTTTCGTATCTGCTGGGCGTTTCGGCCTCGTTGACAATCTGTTTCAGGCGAGGTGTCTCCATGAAATCGTTCGCAATGGCCCCATCAGTTCAGAATCATTACATCACGACATTATCATGGACAAGTGTTATGCAAAATAGCTTTGAAGTGCACAGCAGCATAAGGACACTTTCGAAAAAATCCAAAGACAACCGCACCAGGATCCAAATCCATTCACGACAGCATCGTGAGACCTACGAGTAGCCATCGGCCATGCTGCCCGAAAGATCTCGATAGTCTTACGCTCCAATTTGTATGATCCCCCAAAAAAAAAATTTCGTACTCTTTTCTGGAAGGAGCGTCCGAGCAGTATGGTAACACGGGTTTGTAATTCCGTCGAGATCTTTCAGCCGGTTACATTCATTTCAAGATCGGCCACTTCGACCTCGCTCTTCCCTTGTACAGTTCCCCCCTTGACGACGCTTGCATCTGTATCGAAAAACGATTGTAAATTGTCACCTCCTGAAATTGTGGATATTTTGCTTATGGAATTTTGAACTATTGCGATTTTAAGGGATATATTGCTAATGGAATGGTGCCAGCCGTTTGGGTGCATGTGGTTAGCCATCTGATGTCGCACTGTTTTGCCAAAAGCATCCTGGCGCCTGTAATTAGAACGGTTCGTCTTTCGTCAGAATTGGTTTGCATAGTTCTCTTGTATATTGTTGTTCCACATGAAGTCCACGGTGATCGTGTGTGCGGAGCCGAACCGACTATTGAGCCTTCCTCTTCGCCCCTCTTCTACCGTATTGGAGGGAGGGGAGCCTTTAACAGGAATTTGCAAGGGTTGGCCTGGCCCCGCCCATATGGTCATCATGTACTGCACTTTTGAAGCATAGATTCAATCGATTTTCAGATGATTGTGAAGCTTATAATCGCTTATCCATTCCATATTTTGCACACTATTCTCATGTATAAATTTAATGAGGTAAATGAATTTTTGCTGTTTTTTTCATATGCATACCTTAATTTCTAATCATTTAGAACCACTCGTACATCGTAGAGACGATGTTAGAGGAGGCTGAACGTCGTATTGCGGACAAAACGGCACGGTCCAGATTCCATGAAATTGTGGAGGACATGACCACAGCACATGTGGCCTACATACAGTTTGTAGCAGTGAAGATCAGTGACCCGCGATTTTTCAAAAAGCGCCAGCTTCCTGATAATAAAGGTGATTATTTTCCAGCTCCTGGGTTGGGAGGAATCAGTTTTATCAGCCAGTTTGTGACTTTTTGCTAGCTTTCCTCCATGGGCTCTGTAATCAGGGCACTTCCTATCGCTGGCGAGAAATTTTGTAAAATGAGACCCCTCGCCCCGAATTCTCCTCTGGTACGACCCCTCCGTTCATTACATTGCCAACCATCTTCCCAAAGTTTCAGGTTTCCACAACATATTTACACCTTTTCAAGTTTCCTGTGAGTTTTCCAATTACTTCCCCAAAAAATGCCGTCGAAGGGCGAGAAATCTGGCGGGAGTGAAGTTTTATAGCACGAGGAAAACCCGCGGAAAATTCTGTATCATATCGTTCTTATCAGTCGTGTTCCACTATTTCTCGTCGTGTACCCGCTTCAAGAACTGGTGGAGAGCGGGCAGGCGTCTTGCTGAACCTTGGCCCCTGACACGCCCCATCATCCGCAGCGAATGAGATTGTATTTCTGCAGTTCAATACGAAATGATGGATGGTCTGTCAATAATTTCGCAAGGAGATGTTCTGAAACGAGTGCCGCTTCCAATCGTTGATCAGAAGGTGCGTTGATTTTTTTGGAGAGACTCACTTAAAGGCAGTGGAGACAATTTGGGGGCGGGTGGTTGTCGCCAACGTCATTTGTGGAAGGGCTGAGTGGGGTGTGGCCAAACATCCTCTCGCAGCCCTTTCAGCACTGACACCGGCAACAACCGCTCGCCTTCAGCAATCAGCAACATTTTTTCTTATAGTTGGGCATCGCGGGTGATTACTCGGGTCAAGATATTGTCATGTGGGGAACTATGGAACGGGTTTGCACACAAGCTGATGGACTGTCGGCCCCAAAAGTCTTAAGGACAAAAGGAAGCGATGGAAAGCTCTATAAAATCATTTGGAAGGTAGGTGGAAGGGGACATTTCCTGTCACAGCAATCATACTGTAGGGCCTGCATATTCAAATTTAGAACGAAGACGTCCGACAGGACAGTCTCGTTGAGCAGCTTTTCTCAGTCGTCAATGGGATTCTAAATCGTGGCGAACCTTCAGCCTTTCTTCGCACTTATAAGGTAAGGATGCCAATTCTCCATTCATCGAAATCGCACGCTCAAAATCCTTACAAAGTATTTTTTTGCGCAGTCCTACTTGGCGGGGCATTTTGCTGGATCCCCTCAATCATTGCTGACGCCTGCTGTGGAGACCTGTTAATTCCTGCAAAGCTATGCAATAGCAAGTGCCTCGTTTATACTTGACAGAGGTCTACAGGTATCACGTGGAGTGTCATGTAATTTAACACAGCTGGCAGGGGATCTATAGAAAGTGCGAAATGCCCCTCCCAAGCCGAGCAGCTCCTATTTTTTTGGAGTCGTAGATCCAATGACGAAACCTCGTTCATTGTGTAGGCGGAGAAACCCATTGACTGCAACTTCTCCTCCAGATAGAGTGAAGAGGAGGATTGGGCGGTCAAAAGGGCTCTGTCATTGGGTGTCTCCGCCCATACAATCAGCATGGACTGTACCTTTATGTGAAAATATCTCTTGATTTATTTCAGGTGGTGCCTTTGGATAGCAAATGTGGTATAATAGAATTCTGCCAAGGAACAGTATCGCTAAGTATGTAGCTCTAACTTTTTACAGTGACCAAGTATCCCAAAATAATTTGCTCATCTCCTCAGAAGAGCTTCTATGTGGGACGGACCTTGTTAGTGGCCTGCATCTGAAAGAAGAGCCGTTTGATAGAAAAGCCCTCCAAGTGCGAACCATGTTGAAAGATGCCGCAAAGACGCAAGTGAGCGAAGCATCGAAGATGTTCCGAGCAGCTTGCGCTGTATTTAAACCTGTCTTCAGGTAATCATCTTCAACATTATTTTTTCGATATTCATATGCTTAAAAGTCTTCATCCAATGTTTACTGGCGATCCTCCTCAGCTGATTGTAGGCACTTCTTCTATGGGCAGCACAGTACGGTCCATTCATGGGCGCATATGATTGACAATTATAGACGGAGTCTGGCTCAATGGAGTATAGGTGAGTTCTAAAGTATGATGCTAACAGTCTTGTTCGCTGCGGATGGGAGGGGTGTCAGTGAGGCTGGGAGGGGTGTCGCGCGCCGTCAGTGAGGCTGGGAGGGGTGTCGCGCGCCGCCAGCCTTTCCCCACCAGTTGTTGAAGCGGGTAAGCGACCAACTCAAGGAAAACGACGGATACAAACATGATACAGTAGTGTCA